TTTATATTATTTTTTTTTATACTTGTCAAAAATTTTGAGTGGTAATTATTTAAATGTTATTGTTACTATTGCTGGAAGATGAATTTTGATTTAAATTAAAAATTTTTGGAAGCATTTTTTTTTTTTTGCGAAAATTTTTATTTGAATCACATCCAAACACTCATACAAACTTTGCCTTTCTCCAATGATTTCAATTGAAGATTGAACCTATTGAACTTATGATACAAATTGAATTACTGTAGTGCTAATGTTTTTCACTATATAAAGATTATAATTTTGCTCGTTGAAACACTTCGTTAATTTCAATTTTGCTTTACAAAAAAGAGATAGAAATGGAAGGAGAGAGAGAGAGAGAGAGAGAAAAAAAAGAAAAGGAGGAAAAGGTGGTAATTAGTTTAAACCTGAATAATTTATTGATCACATAACGATACGATGATGCGTATTGTTGAAATTTGTTTTAAATTTAAATTTAAGGTTTGTTTTTTTTCTCCTTTTTATGAAAAAGTTAATGGTTTATTTTCGTTCTCATGTCATTTCAGTTTTTCTCATCTGTTTGTTCTCAAATAGCATGCAATCAGTCATTAACATAACATTTTGTATGGTTTACATTTCATTATTAAATTCTAATTAATTGAATATCCTATAATATATTTTATAAAATTATAGGATGTATTATAGGATATCCAATTGTTTATGCATCATTCCCAATATTTGTTTCCGTTACTGTTTGATAGTGATATTATTACTTGATTATTTAAGTTTATTAATTTTTGTTATTCATTAATTGATATGTATCAGGGAAAGTATTAACCTTATAACGAATGTTTTTGTATTATTTATTAACCAAAAAGAATTGATGTTTCTGATTAAAAAAACAAGTATTTTTATATCATTTCCTTTTTTTTTTTTATCAAATTTTTAAATTTAAATCTGTTTGTTGTTACTATTTGATAATCATTACAATAGCAAATGTATATGCTAGAATAAATTATAATGGTTAATTAAGCTAAATGAAGTTGTAGATAAAATCAACGATTATTTTACAATTATTGTAAATAGAATTTTTTTCTGAATATTTCAGTAATTTTTCATTGAAAAAACAGACGAAAAAATGAAGTATTAATTTGTTAAAAATAATTTCAGAAAATTCTAAATCTTTGAATGCAATAATATTTGAAAAAAAAAAAAACGAACTGGTAACTGATAATACTTGACAGATTTGAATTCTTAACCATTTTTATTTGTTTTTTCTTTTTTCTTTTTTTCAGGAAATCATTTTTGTGTTTGCACTTGTTAACATTTTCATTATTTTTATAATCGTTTAAATTTAACATTGATTGGTTTTATTTTTTTTTCTTATCACTATTTATGCTTGTTAGATTTCTTTTTTTTTTCTTTTCTATTCATTATGACCTCATTATCAAGGTTTTTGTTTTTCAGAATCCATCTGTTATATATGTGTGTGTGTGTGTGTGTGTGTGTGTGTGTGTGCGTGGGTGCGGGGCGGGGATCCCATAAATACACCGAGATCTTTTATGATTGTTCAATTAACAATAAATCAATAATATATGATAATACCATTCCTCTGTCCTTTTCCTATATCACATCCTTTTATATTTTCGAGGATAAAATTTGGTAAAATATGAGGAGGAGTTCTATTTTTTTTCCGCTTTATTAAATGAATTAAATTAAACAAATGAATCGTTATTATAATCAGAATAGTCCCACTATTGATTGTAGATTTACTAGGAAAAAGAAAAAAAACCTCAATGAAGTTAGTTTCTTCGGTTACCCTGATTATTTTATGATTTATGGCTTACACTGTATACTTGTGTAAGTTCATCCACGAAAATAGATTTCATGTCGGGTAATGCTGTCAATTATTTGCAATAAATATAGTTCAAACATTTACCCAGAGTTATCTTTCAATTTGGTCAAGAATTAAAAACCAGAAAAAAAAACGTAGCATGGTCGAATAGCGAAACTGATGAAGATTAAAAGTACAAAATCAAGGCTAACCAGATAGCGAAACTGATGAAGATTAAAAGTACAAAATCAAGGCTAACCAGATAGCGAAACTGATGAAGATTAAAAGTACAAAATCAAGGCTAACCAGATAATTGGGATTGATAAGAGTGTGTATGATAATGATTATTAGAAATTATCATTTTCTAAACGATGGGAAAAGAGAACGGTACACGTGAACTACTCATGAATATTACGAATCAGATTTCCCAGACAGAGAGTAACAGCTACAATTTCACAACAAGAAATGCTCGAATTATTTCCGATGAAATAACAAGGAAAACCTGCAATAACCTCAGAAATGATAAGGCTAAAATTAGAAATCACGATAGATAATGAGAGGAGTGTTCAGAAAACCTGTTAATATTTTTTGTCTTGTTTCAGTTCTTGATAAATATAATAAAGTAAAATCTTTGAATCTTCGACTAAGACATTATAATAAATTCTACAAATTCTTCATATCGACAAAAGCAGACATTCTTTGAACATAATAGATCATGTGACTAAACCAAAAGACTAGATGGAATTAACTTTTGAACTCCCATAATAATACCTAATAATAATAATAATAACAATACTAATTCCATTATCACCAATTACTTCACTACTGTGCTTTTTTCAGTTTTTGTCGTTTTCTAGCTGCATCAACATAATCGTCGTTAGGTGATAAACTACGGTGGGGTAACGATATGTTCGAAAGTCGAAGAAATATTTGTTCAACAAAAGAGATAGCCTGAAATGTGAGATAAATGAGGCAAATTTTATCAATATGAAAATTATTCGCTTAAAATTCCAACCTCATGCATCCTTATTAGAAAAATAAAGTTTTGGTATGTTACTAAAAATTCACTCCTAAGAAATTAATAAACAATAAATAATGTGTAAATAAGAGTGAGTAGACATATAGAATACTGGCATATAAACATGTCAAAACAGAATCGTTAAATAATAAAAAATGGTCATAATTAGCTAGAAGTTTTACCTAATAAATTATTTCAAATGGCTTCTTTATGGAATATTTCTCACTTCATTTCATGTTTATACATGTAATAAATAATAAAAAAAAGAAAGTAAAACCTTTTGATGATTGAAAAATAGGTATGCAATGAGGAAGAAAAATGGAAGTGCGAAATAGCTGCCACCAGATATTTCCACCTCAGATTTCCGCTGAAAATTTGACTAATTAATTTGTAAAAAAAACTGTAGATAAAGTTGACTATCGAGATATGTGGGAAACATGAAAAGTTTGTTGAGCTTCTTCCGAAAGGTGACCTTGATCAATATCAAGTCATATTACTACCATGAATATCCCGAGGTCAAAGTATAACAAGAATTTCCATAAATTTGTGATTCATTAGAATTGACAATCATATAAGTAAAATGACTATCTTCTAAAAAAAAAAGTACATGTCTCAATTTTAACGCAGTAGTTAGTGTCAAATAAGTCAATAGATTACGTATAATCCGTAATAGCTACCTATTTAGACAGTTGTCCAACAAATACCTTCCAGAAATCCAGAAAAAGAAAAGGAACGAAAAAGTAATCGAAAAAAGACCTGAAGGAAAATAATTTGACACAAAGAAACGGCATAGCTAACCTGCGGATATATACTTAACGATACGGCTTTAAATGTTTCATTTGCGGTGAAAAAGACCTCGTTAGAATCGAACTTCTGATTAATTGTACCATAATTTGTCTCAAATCGAACCGAATATACCTTGAATAAAATTTCGATAAGTTCAAGCAAGGAAAAAAAAATCCAATACGTATAAAGTTTCGCTCAGTCTAATAGGGGTAATACGTATTTCATTATACTGAAATTACTGCCGAATGAACCTGTCTGGTTAAAAGCTAAGTGACTCTTTTACTAATGTACAATTAACATCTACCAACAATTTTAGAAAATAATGAACTTATGCCAACGACCTGTTATTGAACTTATCAATGCACAGTAATAGCATTAACTAGATACTCTCTACAGTTTCCATCAAAATCTAATACAAAACAAGAATCAAAAATCCAAGAGAGCTTACGACATTATCCACGGTAGGAATTTCGAAATAAAATACGGTAGAAGGTGCCACAACGGTTGCCTGCTGAACCAAATTACTATTTTTGTAAAGACCAATTTTATACTGCGGTGGTGAATCAGTATCAACAAATACAACACTACCAGCAACATCTACCCGCTCTTCGATATGTATTAACACGAAATCAATGCCTTTGACATCTTCAGCACTTACCTAAACAAAAAAATGACAATGTCATGCAAATGTCTATCGTTTGTTTGTCACTCAAATAAAGTGAAGTTTCGAAGTAACTGAGCTTAGAAGATACTACCCAAAGGCTACTCAATTATTGGTAAAAATTCAATCAGAACAAAATGTGCAAGTGAACATTTAATATTCACTGTAACATATTTATTTTCAAAATGCTTAACAACAAAAAGATAATTTGATTGATAAATAAACCATATTCATATCACTACTGTGAAATGAGAAAAAAGGCCTAACAATGAACGAATCAGTTATGATAGAATGTGATGGAATGGAATAGTATCAATAACTCGTTTCCCACTCTTTGTTTTGCATGATCTTTTAATCAATTACTTGAAAACATACCACGATATCATAATGTGTTGGGTACGACTGCAAGCGCTGACCGCTCGGTGTTTTTAGTACCAACCGATAGACACATTTCGGATGAAGACCACGAATCCGATATTCACCATTTTCATTCGTTGTATCCTCCTCTTGCAATTGATTGCATTGCTCTGACACTGCTTCAACAGTCACTGCTGGTGCTGGTTGATCAGTTGGATATGAAACTTTGCCAAAAACACTGTAAGTTTTCTTTTTCCTTTTCAAAAAATATTTGCTCGAAAAATACACAATGAAGCAAGTAACGACTTCAAATACATTGCGATTTGACGAATAAACCTATCATAAAATTAACATTCAGTCTTGGAAATTCAAGACATTGAATGAAATAAAACTACGAATGTGCCAAAAGAATTACTCGAAAAAGGACAGATAAAACAGCTTAACTAATGAGCTCAATCAATGAACGCAATGAGCTTAATTAATATTTATTATTTGAATTCGAAATGTTTACAACAAATTAGGGATTTGACACTTACCTATATGCAAATCGATGCCCCTTCAAGTTTACTGTTTCAAATTCACCTTCTTTAATATTTATTGTGATTGATTTTGGATCAAATTTATACTCCTGCAGTATGGGACGCAAGAAATATTCGCCAGGTCGCTGCAAACAAATTTTGTAGATTGATTAATAGTATAAAATTATGTGCAAAAAATTATGTAATGCTTTTAAATAGTTCAATTTCAACTTATCGCAATCAATACTACGGTAATTTGCTTGCAATGAAAAATACGGCATGATATTAAACATGCAACTGGTGGAAAATGATTGGTTAAAATAATGCAATGGTGTTATTATTCTTCATAAAAATAAAATATCGATATTTACAAGATGAAGACGTCTAAAAACTCACCAAGCCAACGAAGATGATTTTCCCGATTTTATCGATAAAACTGTTCGATCGATAATTCTCAGTACCGCTCAAAGAAATGAGTACACTAGAAAGTGGTTCACCAGTCTCAGCGTCAGTAGCAATAATGATCAGCTGTGACAGTTTTATGGCGTTCAACACTTCTAACTTCTCTGTTTTCTCAAATTTATATCCACTTTTCTCAGCTGATATATCGAAATCTTTAATACTTCGCACTGGACCTATCCTGAAAACCAGAGATTTCAAATTTAAACTTACTTCATGCAGTTGAATTTTTTGTATTTTATCCGAAACACAACTATATTCGAGTCAAACCACTCATCAAATGGCAAAAATTTGATGCAAGTCAATCACAACTAAAATCCTGCATCAACACAATTACCTAAATTTGCCGTTAGCATCAGTCACTGATTCAAGAATGACATTTGGATCACTTGTATGTGGTGAACGGATATTCACGCCTTTAACAGCTGGCACCACTCGGCCTTCCAAAAAGATACCCTTATCAGCTTTAAAAGTTATTTCGTCCAAATGACATTCACCTGAAAGCAACGCGAAACTTGTTGTCGATTTTTTTTTTTAATTATGAAAGTGAAAATGTAAAAGTGTAAAAATATGTGGGGCATCATCACAGGATTAATAGAGTACAAAGTCGGGTAAAATTAAAAAAGCTCACCGCTGAACTTGAAAATATGAGAAGTTGGATTGAAAAGGTAAGTTTTCGATTGAGGTGTAAGTATAACATGGGCATCAGCATCCAAAGCTGATAAATAGAATATGAAAGCTAGTCTTTTTTCTGTTGAAGAATTTACCTAAATGACTTGATTTTAGCGTAAAACTTCCCAGGAAGAAAACAAATAATAAGAGTGTGAATGATTAAGAAAAGACAATCTTCATAATGCTCTGCAAATATTGTTACAATCGGAATTAAAATTTCTTATGATCTTCGTTGCTATTTTAACTCCTGTTATGCGAAACAGTATAGTCACATATGTCGTATAGTCAGTATAGTCAGTCGTATAGTCACATATGCTTGCACCCAGTTATGCAATAATTCCAACTGATGAAGTAATAAAGCTAGATTTATGAAGCGGTCCATCTCATAGGTACAACATATTGCACTGATCTTATTTTTAATTGCGTCAGTTATATCATTATATGTTACTGAAGAGAAACGAAAAAGGTTGAAAGAAAGGTGGAAATACCGGAATCATTTGCTCGTCAGTGCTGGACTTGACAGATAAGGCAAAATCATCAAGCTGATTCACCATGTGATCCAATTCAATCGAAACAGAAATCAGAAATTTCGAAGCAGATGCAACAAGTGGAACTTCTTGTGGGATACTGATTTCATATGACTGCTTGTCGAATTTATGACAAGCTTCAAATATCACGGTATAAATGCCGGTTAAAGGAATGCAGAAAGAAAACTGTCCAGCTGGTATATTAAGCGAACCACTAACTTGAGGTTTTTCCAACATGCTCCATTTCTGGAATAAATGGAGAGATATTTTTTGGGATACAGCCATCATCCATACAATCTTGATTATTAGCTGAAAATACTAAATATTTTTAGCGATATAATCCAAACCGCTTTAGCCGGATGTGACAATCGGGTTGTTGCTCGATATCCTACTTGACGAAATATGAGGTTATCCAAGTCAGCATGTTCGATAACGATATCCATTTCAGTTTTTTCCCAACAAAATTGACCGTTATCAACTATTTTCACTGTAAAGACAATTTAAAACATTTATCGTTTATGCAGTATGTATTAATTGAAGAAATTTTTAATTTGGATCACATTAACACGGTAAAAATATACTTACATTTGTAGGAATCCGGTGCCACTTGATGAAAAATAAATTGATCAATGCCCTCAAGGTTTTTTATTAATACTTCTTCCTTCCACAGTTCTATCTTCAAAGTACCACAATCATCTGTAACGTAAAGTTATATAAACAATTTCACATTGCTACACAGATTATTGAAAATCCATAATTTAAAGTACCATAATTTTTTTGCCAATTTGCTGGCAAAATTGTTACCAAACCAAAGAAATACCTTTAGCAAAGAAGTGATATCTGTAATATAATTAATGTCAAATAGTTTAAATGAAAAAAAAAAGGTAGTATGCAGTAAAAAAAAAACTTTGCTATAAGATAATGACCTAAACCTGGTTTAATTTTGTAAACACTGATGAGGATCTAACATAGGGTTGTTGTAAAAAGTTTTGAGAAAATACGAACCTATACAGATGACACGAACATTCACATCAGTTCTGAACTGATTAAATACAACATCAAGTGCAGGACCTTTCGACAAATCAATTTCACGTTGTTTTGGCGTCATTACTGCATCGCTTACGGATGAAACCTAAAACAAAACATCACAAGCATATTAAATTTCATTATAAGATGAAGAAAAATTGCCAGTCATTGGAAGATAAATAAGCTTTTAATAGGCCGAAATATGCATTTATGATTGACAGAGAATAAAACTTTTAAAATCGGAAAAAAATATTTGCTTAGTCTCTTCTATTTTTAAGTCTATATAATGCCTATTAAATGAATTCCATGTATTAAATGAATTAAAGTGTATTGCTTGAATAGCCAAGCATCATGAAGATATGGTTTTTTTTTTTCATTATTAAAGATAATAATTGAATTCTAATTATTACTCGTAATAACGAGTCGAGAGATACTCGTAAGTAATGTTAGGCCTTCGTATTCTAGACAAAAAATAAATACTCTGTGAGTATTTATGTAATATAAAAATGAAAAGTGAAAGTTGAAAATGCACCGATACGACATATCTACCAACTGCTAACAAACTGCATATCTTTCCATCGCTCTTTGTATTCAGTGATTTCACGGCTTTCGTTTGCTCATTTGTAAAAACGATCGACATTACGTGATTAGTACTTTCTTCCGCATTCACCGTAACACACACGTCTACACTGGAAAAATGTAAACACAGCTAAGAGCAACGATTACTATTCTAAAGTACGACATTTTTAAATGTAATGTTGTGCCATAATATAACTACAATTTCTACGTTAAAAAAACAAAAACGTGATTCGTTAATTCATCGTGGTACTTATCGAATAACCATATATTAACAATGTTATATTTTAGAAAAAAAATCTCCAGTCATCATTTTTTACTCGAAGGAAGATGAACAGTGTGAGAAGCTATCGAATAATTTGATTAAGATATGTTTGGGAAATACTCCGCAAAAATACGCATAACTTACCTTTCCACAACGATATCCGGAATTTCAGCTTTTTTTGCAGTCAACTTGATGCTTACCGTATTGAAAGCAAAATGATCCTTTTTGGCAGTTATTTTGTAATCCTCATCTTGTAAACCGTCAAGTGTATACCTAAAGACACGAAATAACATCATACAAATGAGATATCTTATGAAAATTTTCGAAAACGACAGTCCCCGCCTCAAATAAGGAATCGCTGAGCTAAATGACAATGTACTACATAACAATTTAGTTCATCTTCATTACCCTGGATTAATCCGATTTTTTTGGCCAGTTAAAAATTACCATCCGCTTGCATCGGTTTTTCCTTTTGTTTCACCATTTACATAAACAATTGCATCGACAACTGGCTGTCCAGATAACAGCACTTGACCTTTGCTACTAAATCCAAGCGTGTTGAAGATAACCTTTAAATAGACAAAAACATTATCATTTTATTAATAGTAGCGTTCATTAATATTTCTTTTGCAATAACTGAAAATGAGTTAATTTGGTACTACGAATAACAGAGTTTTAATTATGCCCGATTTAATAGATTTCTAGTGAAACAAAACTATCTACGATATCCGGTCTTGATTTCTAGATGATATAGTTGATAGCTTACAAAATTTTGATCCTGAAGAAATACATACCGTCCTAAGCAATACCAGAAATAATGAATTAATTGAATTTCAATTTTTAGCATAAGATTAAAAAAATGCAAAAGCATGCCAACATAATTCATAAAATTAAATTATTTGACTTATAAAATTAGAAAGTAAGACCTTTTCCGCGGATGACCCCATGGTGATTTCCTTCATTTCCGGTGAGAAACTGAAACGAACTTTGTCGGTGGAAAGAGATGGCTGGATGGTATACAATCCTGGCGGAAGACATGGGAATTCAGCTACACCTTTGCTATCAGTTTTTATTTTACAAGCAAGCTTTCGACCAAGTTTTCCTCCTTTTCTTTCCACATCAGCTAGTTCTTGTTCTTCATCACAATATTGTAACTATAAAAAGATAACAACAAGAGTCAAAAGATCTTCATACTGAAACATGACCTGTATTAATTAGCATTATTGACTCTTACAAATATCGCTTCTTATCACGTACGACTTAGGAATAGTAAGAAATGGAAGGCATCGAGAAAATTGTATTGCATACAGTAACATATGTTATAAATTACATATACCATAAGAAAAACAATCGCTAAATTATTCCGCTGAATAAATTACAAATAGTCTATGGTTTGCGCCAATTATGTCTTCTCGGAAGGATGGACCAAAAAATTTTAACAGCTATCCCAAGGTAATAAGAATGATTTAGTAGCTGCAATAATATTAGAAAATCTTTGTAGCTTACCGTTATAGCAGTTTCCGAATAAAGTGCTACTGAAACTTCAGCTATTTGATGCTTTTTGGATAAAACAGCAACTGTCAATAAATGTCCAGATATTTTCAAATCTGGTGATACACGAACTGGTGATGTCGTAACCGATATCGGTACTTTACCACGCTCAATGCATTCTGTGCTATTACCTGCGGTTGATACCTTCACGGAAAGATGAAAAGTAATTAATAATAAATCGGACTGACGAACAAAAAGTTAACCACATATTGAAAATTCCACAAACAAAAAAACTGAAATTTCTTTACCATGATTTATAATACTTCGATATTTCACGAGATGTGATCACACATCAAACAAAAGAATTTATTCAAAGAATTCACCTGTCTGGTTCATATTTACACAATTTAAAATAAAAATAACAATCATCTCAACTTAAACATGGGAAAAAAATTGCAAAAAGATGACATACTAAATATTTTCCGGGTGATGCTCGAAATCGATATGCACCATTTGCAACCGTTTTTGACTCCGATACAATGGTACCATTTTCGGCAATAAGAATCAATGCAACATCGGCAGGTCCATGACCATCACCACTTCGTAACATACCTTCCACAGCGAAAGCATTCAAAACAAAATTTATATCTTCACCTTTGGTGCATAAATCATTCTTCCCATCTACTTTCAGATCAAAAGTACTTGGTTCTGAAATAAAGTTTACAAACTTTTTCCTTTTTTAAGAGAATAAAAGTAACGGAACAAAGGAAGAAAAAGAAAAAAGAATTTAGCAAGAGAAAAATGAATCAAAGGAATAATTCACCGCTATGGAATCGTTTTTTATCATTCGTTTTTATTTCAACATTTTAAAATATCAAATGTTCAAAAATAAAATGAATCTTGAAAAGAGTGCCTACCAAAGAACCATCCATCAGGGGCGAAAAGACGTATTGAATAATCGCCCTTGTTATATACCGGAATCATATAATAACCATTTGTTGGACTGCATTCTGTTTCAAATTTTAAATTTCCTTCAGCAGTAAATAGTTTAACCTATGAACAAATCTAATCGGTTAGAAAAACAAAAAACAAAATATTCATGAAAGAATATAAACGAATATCCAATTACTTAAATTGACGATATACTTTGTAAAAAACATTATCTATTAATATTAACTTCCATCAAATAATATTAACATTAATATTAATTTTCATCGACAATTAAAGATTTTTTCATTGAAATATTTGGATTCTTGACTATTTACTTGGCAAAAAATCGTGAAAAATCAAACTATAGTATAAGGGATCAATCCAGTCGAATCTTAAACAGGTATAACTGCGTCTTATCACTGCTTACCACATGGTTTATAATAGTTTCTATTCTACGACACTACACTAAATATTCAAACCTGTAATTTCGAATAATCGATTGGAACATCTGGTGATTTGACAAAACCACCGCAACTGTAAACTTCAGCTGTTACTGTTGAAATACATAGCAAAATCAGTGCAAACCATTTAACTGCATCCACAGAACTCATACCTTCAATGTATGGAAAATTTAGCAGAATTTTCTTCAACTATATGTTTCATTTTCTTACTTTTAAATCGTGAAAAAGGTCAGCAGTAATTACTCGTCGTCATCGTAGTAAGAAGTAACAACAGTATGAACACTGAAATGCAACATGGAATACCATAATTTACTTTATTATAACTTCTAAAGTAAAACGAGAATTATTAAAATAGGGTAATAAGATTTTAAATATATATAAAATAACAATAGCATAACAAAACTCTAAATCATTTTTGAACAATAACCAAAGTCGTTACAGCAAAAAATTAATGAAGAAAAGTGCTATAAGTAGTCCGAAAATAATGAATAATTAAGACAAATGGTATATAAATAAGGACTAAAATAATTTTTAAAAAGTGAAATGATGAGCAATGCAGATAATTCACAATAAGCAAAATTTCTCCAAAAAAAAAAAAAGAAAATTAGACGTTAAATAACGGTTACAAACCAAGTCAACTATTATATGCCTAGAACTGTCTGATGATTGAAATTGAGATACAGTAGAATAGGCTAAAGTCGAATATTTGTAGCTGATATCTAAACTCTGTTAAGATCATTAAAGCTATCCCATAACATATAATTTGAGCGATACAATCATCAATGAATTGTAGCAACAACAATGGTTTAACAATGTCTAAGCATTTCACTAACGATATGTTCCAGAAAGATTCAAATAGTCAAGGAATCATTATTACAGCTGCTATATAGTAAAATTAAAGTTAGCGGTAACTACGATGTAAGCATATTAGACAGTTTTTTTAACGACTGCCTATACTTTCTTACGCATAACAACACCATTCCTTCCATTAACTTCGACAAGAAAGCCTTGAACTGAACTGTTACAAATGATCAAGTTAAACAGTTTACATAATTTTAATACAGTCGCAACGTTCACTCGATAACTTCATCTTTTTCTGTGCAATAATAATGAACTGATTATTACTAAAAGAATTCAAATATCAATCCCTGTATTCAGTTGAAACAACGGTTTACAAAATTTGCACGATAACATGAAGGTTTCGTATTGTTCGATTTGTATCGTAGCCAGATGTATACCGTGTTTGAAACGTATAAGTCTACTAGCTATCTGCATTGTTTCGGTTGCTTTCTCTGGTTCATCTGCAGTAAAGAAGCTTTAGATAGAGAAACTTCAGGAATTTCTTTACAAAACGACTAATGTCGTCCGCATCAATTTAGAAATCAGTCAATAAAGATCAAAGAGTGCAATTTAGGTACAATTTTCAAAACAGTCAAATCGTTATTCAGAATTGGCTCACAAAATGAATGATTTTTTAAATTGAAGCGGACGACATTGATCGTCAGTTATATCATATTATCCAGAAAGTTGCATCCAATTTATTCTGGCTTTTTGTGAAGAAAATTTAGTTAGAGAAACTTTAGACATCTTCTTCGTTAGATCTCACGACGGAAACACATCATCCAATACAGTAATACTCAAAAATTCAGAACAAGACTAAAAATTGTGATATGCTCAGTATTATCAAGTAATTTTAAAAAATAAAGTTATATTTCTATAGAAGCAAAGATACCAATGGCCAAATGAACTGCCAAAGCTGTTTTGTCCATATTCAATGACCACACATGCAAGCTGTGCAACGTTCTTACACCATCTATGCTCAACAAATCATTCTGCAAGTTACCATAATTGATATGTGCCGGTGTTCCTGAAAAATTATCAATTTATCATACTTCCTGCCAATCGTAAGTTTGCTTACGAAATTTCCGCCAATTGCAAATTTGATTTTGAGGCAAAATAAACCCAACAAAATGGGAAAAAATGAAAAAAAAAGGCAATTTTAATATTGGGGGAAAAAAAAATTTTGTAAAAAATTTTTATCTAAGGAAGTGCTTTAGAAAACAGTTTTTATCAATACCTTCCATTAATATGAAGAAAATATCACGAATTACAGTAACACTTGTGATAAGTACGATTATAGAAAAAAGGAAGGTGCATAACGGATCAGCTAATTTCCAACCTGTTATCTGCAATAAATAAACCTGTAGGGAAATAAATATAAAGAGTGTAATAATTTGAAATTTCATGATAAATTATGGTCTTTTCCTCCCAACTTGGCAAACAAAGAAACCTTTTTTCTGATCTCCCCTTTCTTAAGAATAACCTGACGAAAAATATTATACCAGTAATACCAGTAACAGTATACTATCATCTTACCTTAATCACGATAGCGGCAGTTAGAACACCGATACTTTGGATGAAATCTCCGAGAACATGGATAAAAGCCGCTCGTACATTCACATTAGTACTGAATTATGCAAACGAATAAGTTGGAAAATACATTTTTTTCATTAAAACAGCATTCTTATATATTGGTGAAATTCACTATTTAAAATATAATTTCGTGTTATTTAAATTAGAATGAAAAAAGAAAAAAACCAAGTACCTACTGGTTGTGACTGTGACCCATATCTTGCGAGTGAGCAGAACGAAAATACCGCAGAACGAGTCCCATGATAATATTAAATAATACGCCTGCACTTGCTGTCACAATCATCATATTTGCATCAACCTCAAATTGTCAAGCCTAATGAAATTCTCGGATTTCAAAAGAAAGAAAAAATACCTATTTGGTTGAGAAAACTACCTAAATCGGACCAAAATTATAAACAAAATGTCCAAATTAGTCTTCGGTAATGCACAACTTTCCTGACTATTACCTTTTTTTCTAAGTTTAATTAGTTTTTTCCTAAAATTTTCGGAAACACATCTTGAATTCAAACATGATTTCCATTAATAATAAAGATTATACTGTATCAGAAGTTAAAATGGTCCAAATTCAGATATTATTTTTCGATTTGATTACAACGGAAAACTTCAACAGCAAATAAAATTTGCTGTTCAAATAGTACTGTGACATTAAAATTATGTTCATTTGCACTTTTTTCTTTTTTTTTGGAAGTTCATTTCCAACATATAATTTCAATACTATACAGCAAGAAATGTCGTTCCCTAGCATTTCAAACGATTATGCTGTACGAGACATTATAAGAACTTATACCACTCGAACAAACCCCCCTCACCGGAGATCATACGTCAGATATGGTTGAACGTCAATTTACTGAAAGAATTCTACGATTCTAAGTGGCCTTTTAACTACTTATTTTAAATACTGTTGGTCACATTTTCAATGGATTAACCTTAAATTACCACATTTCCATATTTAGGAATGCTTCAACTGTACATGCACTCTCTAACCAGTGTCAAAACCTCAAACGTTAAACAATATATTTTCGGTTATCATTAAATTATGAGAAAAGGAATGAATGAAATGATATTATAGGCATAATGAAATGCAAACCTCGAAATCATTATTGATAATCCGTTGTAAAGCAAGCATTACAAGCATCGTTGTAAGAATCCATATAATTATAATCGATATCGTAGCACCCAAAATTTCTGCACGAAGAAAACCAAACGATAATCGGTGATTTGCTAGAATTTCATTGTAATTTGAACTAGTAATTTGAGGATTATTGGTGTAATCAGTATGCAATGTACATAATTAGCGTACATCCAAACAACATCCAAATTATTCATCCTGGATTTATTTTAAATTCCCTTTCCTTTCTGATTTCTTATATCATGAACCGCTTCCTGTTTTTAATGTTTTCCAGCAGTTTACTTAATGCGAAAGAATATGCGTACATGAAATAATGTCAAATAACAGAGCATCTATATGATACTCTTTGTACCATGTTGTTACCGATGAATTGGAACTTCAGTGTTACTAAAAGATATAATTTAATCATTTATGTATTGTCTGATATTCAGCAATCACCCGTACATTTCCCAGAAAACGCTAAATTAAGAGGAAGTAAAAAGAAACAGACAAATTGCTTTTTTAGTGTTGCAGACGTTTGAATTATCTTAAAAACAAAACATTGGTCTGTCAATATTTTTGGAGAAAAATATTGGTGTGAAAATAGAACCAGGAGACCGTGCAAGCCGGATTGCTATGATCGATATGATAAAAGAGAGCAAATCACTAAGCATATGTCCAGCATCGGTCATTATTGCTAAACTGCGGGCCAAAACGCCACCGCTGAATTCAGCAACAATGAAAACGGTACTTAAAATTGCCACCGCTATCAGTGATCGTTCAGCTCTTCGGTCCTGGAAATATATTAAGTCCAATACTAAAACTTGTTCTAAATTAACTTTGTTTTTAAAACATAAATGATGCTTAAACTGATGACTAAATTTTTAAAATGATATCATTCAGTTTTAGAGAACATGTGTATGTAGACAACACATTCAGTATAAATTCCTGAAACTTCCGCAGAGATGTAAATTACACAGTGACGAGTTCATTTTGGTGAACAATACAACAGTACGGTTTTAAAAAATGATTTTAAAAACTTTTTCTTTTAAAAAACAATTTAATGATTTTAAAAACAATTTGTACTAGTATAGAAATATCAAAATGCTAACTATGGTTTTTCGACAAAACAAAACGATAGATTTTAAAAAAAACAAATGAACTAGCAAATTTATTAATCACATCATAAATAACTTTGGGCATTTAAATATTGTTTAATCCTACCGTAATGGAATAACACAACTGATTCAATATAAGTAATCAAATGATCTAAATAATAACAATACATTTAGCATAACACAGTTAACAGAATGTTGACGGTTACATCAATTGCTAAACATATTATGCCGTTGACAATGTTGACCACATCATACTAATTTGTATAGTCATTATAACAATCAATAAAGTGATACGACTAATGGACCAAAATTAACAAAATCAAATCATATGGTTATGATTAAATTGTGATTAATGTAAAAATATTAACAGTGCAACAATGCATGCTTAACTGTATTTGATCCATACGTTTGTATTGCCATCGATGTACAATAATTCAATAGTTGTCAAGTTTTTCCACAAACGAAAGCAAAAGCTTTAAATCAATAAAGGATACGAAGAAGCATGAAAAAAAATTAAGAAAAGAAACCTCTTTTTGAGATAGCAACAAAAAATGGCAGTGTTCCTGTAGACACGAATGATCGATCGATTCTTGTTCATCATCATAACTATCCTGATCATTATAGATTGCATTCCGATCATCATTATTATTCATCCTTTTCCATAATGTTCTCAACATTTCCCTCCAATAGCTATATTAGTTACAATATAATTGCAGTAATAACCAAATTAAGCCATAAAATTATTCCATTTCTAACCGGTCCATCCGGAAAAATCCTAGGCAAATACCTCCAATTTTACGGGAAAAAAACACACACACACCTTCAATAGGTACTTTCAAAGAGCATGAAAAATTGCTTTGCTCAATATTAACACGGCTCTAATTATGAAAACTATTATCCTAATCGTAATGAAATTCGGTGAACAATGTTTGTCGGAAATGCAATCAACGAAATGAGTGAAAAATTTTCATTGGTAAACAAGAACTCTTGAACAAAACATCAATTTATGCTACGTTTAACCTTCTTTTCTTGTGGTTTCTTCTTCCCTTTTATTGTCATTTTAAATCAAATTAAATTTTGTTTTTATGACATTAGTTATAATTTGATTATATACTGTTTCTTTGTACCTAAAAAGTTAAGATCTAACTATTAAAAAGGAAAAGAAAGAAAAAAGAAAGCTCTATAAGTAAATATGAGAAAAGGAATGATGAAAAGTTAATTCAGTTTTGTAGCTGTAATACAATTACAATTACAATATTAAAATAACTTTTCACCATTTATTTTTTCCTTTTTTTAGGGAAGTAAAGCACAATTTAGTTTCATTTTTTTTAGTTTCTTTTTTTGATTTTTTAATTTTTTGATTTTCTTTTTATTTCAATCTTTTTGATTCTTTTTTAATTTTTTTAATTTACAAAACTTAAATAATTTTTTTTTGTGCCATAAATTTTCGATTGTTGAAGGCATTTTAAATTTTGATTTAATTAGATTTTTAATTTATGCACAAAATGTTGCTAGTAATTAATCTTGCTTAAAATATCATTTAAAAGATATTTTAATTAACTGAAGAAGAAAAAAAAACCTAATGAATGTTTGCTAAATATGAAAATTATAACAGATATGGATGAGAAATTATTGTTGCGTAATCCATCTCTTTTTTTTTTTTTTATTCGTTTCCTTTTTCATTCTTGTTTCAGTTTTCGGAAATTATACCGGAAACTCATATGCTACAATCAACATTTCTATTATTCGTCATATCAGGTATAATCATCCGGAAGAAATTATATAAATTGATTTTGATGATTCATAGCATAAAAATATTCTAGCAGTGCATGTAAGATGTAAGGTTTTTTTTTTTTTGAAATGATTTGTATTTTTTTTTTTTTGAAGGAATTTTAATTGTCATCATTTATTTACAGTATGACTTGTAATGCCTTATCTTTTTAGCAATGAATCATTAAATAAATAAATGTCGATGTTGTAATTTGTAAATTAATTCATAATTATGAGAGTATAAAGTAATTGGAAAATTCGAAAAAATGGTCCAATTTTTTATTTGTAATTGGTAATTTAATTCAACAAAAAAAAAAAAAGAAAAGAATTACACGTAGAAGGCGATAATGAATGTATAAAAAATTGAATGATATTGATAGTTGACAATTATCACTAGTGATAATGATGACAAATGATATGGTGAGGAAAAAAAAAATGATGACTTAAACGATTGATAAATAACTTAAATTAATACTAATAGTGAGGAATGATAAGTGTAATGATAAAATTGAATGATATAAGTAGTAAATAATAAGTTGATACAGATAGATATATCATTGATAAATTATTTGTAAAGATCAATTAATTTATAATTCTTGATTTGAATGTTCATGCACATTAATATTTATTGTTATCATTATGAATAACGATATCATTGACTTCTTTTTTTTCTCAAATATTCTTTTTTTTTCTGTTCTTAGTGTTTCTTTCATTGTTTCTGATCATTAATGAATTGCTAATTTTAATTAACCTTCGATCATAACTGAGTAATTAGATAAATAAATTGCTTGGGTATGACTTTAAAAAGTACGAAAATCTAGCTAATACTATTTTTTTAGCAACATTGCAACTTTATTGATAACAATACGAATTGCTGCTTTACTTATAATCTTTCAATCATATTTTCATTTCTTATTTATATTTCTAATAAAATTTTAAATTATGCGTTAAATCAATTTGCAAAAATTTCACAAAACATATAAAATATCAATTAATAAATTATTAATCTCATTTATTTCAACATTATCTTTTTTACTTTATCTAATATTTACTTTTAATTGTTACTTAATATTTTTTCTTTTTTCTTTAAAATTCTCTTCCATTTTTTATTTTTTTCAATCATTTCATAAATAGATATGATAATAATTATTTTCATTTAACATATTTCTATTAACAAATTAATATTTGAGAAAAAGAAAACTTTTTTTCTATTTCCTTTTTCTTCCATATGTTTAAGTAAACAAACTAAAACTGATTAATACTTATGTTAAAAAAGGTATAATACATTGGGAAAATTTTGCAACATATTTATGTAAACAATAAAAGAAAGGGAAATATTATAGTTAATGAAGATATATATATATAGTAAAATACCTAATGGTTAATATTGGAATAATGATGGGAGTGGACATATGGTGGACAATAACTAATGATCAAGTGGGTATGTAATCATATGTGTATGTCATTATTCTATGATGACACTAATAATTTTCATCCTATCTAGTATTATAATCATATCTATACAAGGTAAAGTTAATTTTGATTTTGAAAAATTTAGTAAAATGTAAATTGATTAATTAGAATTAATCAATTAAAAAAAAATATAGAAGGAAAGTGAAATAATTGATTAATTTCATATTTTCAATACAGAAAAATAATATCGAATATATTTCTTTCCTTTTTACAATTTATTTTTAAGTATAATATTAAATTATTTCAAATTATAAAATATAAGTAGTGAAATAATCGTTCATTTATTATATACTTGTAACATTAAATAAATAAAATTATAATTATCAATATCAATTATCATCAAAAAATTAGTAGTAATGATTGGAGTAATAGTTCTATGTAATTGCTATTATTGTAATTTCATATAGTTAATGGATAAATAGAAAAATCCGTATGATTTACGTATGGAAAATTCAAAAACTTAAAAATTTATTCCATATCCTTGATAGATTTCACATTGACTTTGCCAATTATCAATATCTCGTAACTAACATATATAATTCAATTACTGTAGAATATGTAAGATGTAGGATACCGTAATATATATGATGTAAGAAATACTATGTAGCATTAGAGGATC